AAAAAGCACTTCTGGAATGGCTCACTTCCTAGGATCATGCCTTATCTCTTGGGGAACAAGAAAGTCCAGTGGCTCTTTCAACAGCTGAAGCTGAATATATAGCTGCAGCATCCTGCTGCGCTCAGCTTCTGTGGATCAAGCAGCAACTGGAGGATTTTGGAGTACTCACTGAGAGTGTACCCCTCCTATGTGACAATACCAGTGCACTCAACATGGCAAAGAATCCATTTCAGCATAAAAGAACAAAATATATTGATGCGAGGTATCACTTTCTAAGAAATATTGTGGAGAAAGGGTTGATGTGCATGAAGTTCTGTAGCACATAAGATCAGATTGCAGATATTTTTTGCCAAGGCACTAAGTAGGGAACAGTTTGAAAGAAACAGAGTAAAGCTGGGACTGTTGAAGCCCAATTAAGAACCTGATTCCCTTTTGGTTTGGCTCGTGTTATTAAGAAATAATTTGTTCAAAGTGTTTTTTGGCCCTGTCTAACTCACTTCAATACCGTTGCAGGTAAACACGCATGATGAGCATAGAAGCAGTAGATGCAGTACATGACTGATAAAAGAGGATTAATTCTTTTCAAAAAAAGGGGACTTGAAGAAAATGTTTTTCAAGAACCAGGTTCTTGTACTAAAGGTTAGTAGTTCTATGCATCCTTTAATGCACGTCTTAAAAGACACAAAATACAACTGCCATGTCATCAACTTTTCAGATCCGGCTGTCACGTCCTTTCAATTCAAACGTTCCATCTCCCTTTGAAACGTCACAGTTCTCGACGCCCAACCGCCGTCTCAGAACCGGTGCCTATTCTTCTCCCCTCATAATTATCCTCTCCGTTTTAAAAACCCATCTATTCTGCTCCTCTAACCATAAGCCCTAGGTTAGATTAACCCAAAAGAAAGGGATCATCACACCACCTCTTCCAATGGCTGGGAAAACGTCTGATTTCTCTGCCTCAACCGTTCCCACCTCTAACACATCTATGGAACCCCCAGCCTTCACTGAGTCTGTATCACTCCCTAACACTCCTGCTAATATCACGCCTTCCCTAGTTTCCCAGCCTCTTCCCGACTCAAAAGCCATTAATACTATTGTTCCGTCTGTTGTACACTCCAGTCAAACCCTAAATAGCGAACAAGGTCAGACTATTGAGTTTACAAAAGGCACCGCCATCATTGTCGTTGACTCCATGGTTGTGGAAGCACCGGTTGAAGAAGAAAAGACTGTGCTTGTGCTCTCCGCCGATGGGATATTGCATGAAGTTCTTTCTCAGAGACAAGAGTCACAAAGCGTGTGGGTAGAAGGGGCCATTATGGCTGTTGAAGGGGAAGCAGCAGTATACACTACTGGGGCATCACATGAGGAACCTGATCCCTCTTTGGAGGACACAGGTCAGGACTCTCACCCCCACGAAAGTGATGTACCTGCTTTCGATGCGGTGCCCTTGGAAATTCAAGCACTAGAAATTCGATCCAGTGATGAGGAAGACCTGGACAACGTGGCCCTAGACGCATTCATCAGTAAGCAAAGGGTTGTCACCACTCCTGAGTCTGAAATTAAGCGGCCTACTACTAGGATTCAAGTCAAGGTGGCCTATGATTTTGCACTCCAAAAGAGCATGAAAAGTAGTAAGAAGAAAAGAAGAAAGTTGTTAAAAGATGGTGTACCTGTTAATGAGGAAGTCATCCCCGTGGTGGAGGTGGAGGAAGGAACGCCTGAGGAACCTAGTTCCCTTGTCAGGCGGTCCTCGAAAAGAGCTGAGTATGTTTCCATGGAGAAAGGATCTACTTCTAAGTCCAAGATGAAGGAGGCAGTGAGTGATGAGGACATTCTTGTCAAGTCAAAAGGGAAAGGCAAAGTCAGTGGAGAAAAGAATAAGAAATGCAAATGGGAAACAGTTGAAGAACCCGGTTCTGGGAAGAAAGCCAAAAGTGACGTCTGCCTTGGATCTGAGCGACTAAGGCATCAAAAAGTTTTGCTGGGCCACATGTTTGACCTAACAATCTCTAAGATGGCAGGAATGCGTCAGCTTCTAGAAATGGTGGAGTTTCAGCAATGGACGCATCTGTTCTACATTGACGCTCTTAAAGTGTAAGAGGAGGAGGTCAAGAGTTTCTTCTCCAGTCTCTTTCTAGTTGATACTGACCATGTGTGTGCCTTAGTAAATGGGGTGGATATTGTCTTTGATGTGAAATTACTTGGGAAAATTCTGTAGGTTCCTACTGTTGGGGTGTCTAGCGTGAGAGATGTTTGTCAATACAACCTCCGAAATGCAGTCATGAAGGATACTTCTAATCAGAAGGGGGACCAGGTTCATAAGAAAGCACTCCTTCCTGTCTACCAGCTGTTGTTTGAGCTGGTGAACAAAGTCCTGTTGCCACGAGCAGAACGCGGATCTGTTACTTCCAAATCTGATTTATTTTTAATGGAGCAATTGGATGGTTTCAACCCAGTGAATCTGCCTGCCATAATGATTGAGCATATGCAGAAAGTGGCTGATTTTAAGGATGGTAATCACGGGCTTCCCTATGGATTCTTGCTCACGCAAGTGTTCAAATACTTTGAGGTTCCACTGGGAACAGGTAAGGTAGGGACCCAAGCAGACATTTTCATAGACAAACTTAGAAGAGTGCGAGTGTATTGAGAAGTATGGGGGTGTAGGAAGCACTTCAACTGTGTCTCAGCTCATCAATGCCCAAAATAGCGCAGCTGAAGAGATACGTCAACTGAAGGCCAGGAATGCCATCCTGGAAGGCCAGCAAGCTCGAGCGGTTCCCATGTCGAATGATGAGGTGATCCATTTGACTCAAGAAAATGCTAACCTCAGGGCGCAAGTTGAGAACTTGAAAGCCGAACTGCTCAACGAGCAAAAGTCGGGAAATGCCCGAACAGACCTTGTTCTCCAGACACTTGCCGCTACTTCCAAGCCTTTTCCTCCTAGTGCCCCCTAAGTTTCCCCTCTGTGACCAGTTATCTGGATGTGGTCTTTTTCTTTGTTTCTGTTGATGATTGGTGGATGTTTTTGTTGTCTTTTTGTTGTGGTTGGGATGTACTCTTACTACTGCTCCCGTGATCAAGTCCAAATGCTGCCTCTTCTTTTTTTTCTAAGGAAGGGGCATATGAAAACAATTTTTTTTTATAAATCCTCTCTTATTTTGTCCAGTACTTTCTCTTTGCATTCTATTCTTTATCATGATTGTGTGCACATATGTGGCATGAGTTAGCTTAGCTGGACTTCTTTGCATGTTTATTCTTTTTAATGATGCCAAAAGGGGGAAAATATAGTTATGGACTCAGGGGGAATCACATTGGGGAACTGGTTCTTATATGAATTGAAATTGAAAGATTGGTTCTTATATGAATTGAAATTGAAAGATTAAGGCATTGTCTCAGGGGGAACTCACTGACACTGCTAACACTGCTTTCTGCTGCCTTAATTCTGAACTTATAATTGTTTAAGTTTGTCATCATCAAAAAGGGGAAAATTGATAGATCTTAAATACTCTTGCCTTATGTTTTGATGATCTAACAAACTTATTGATAAGAACCAGATAAGGAACCTGACCTACTTGGATTGTTGCAAACTTGAACTGATCCCAGCTAAGGATAAACTGCTACAGATTCAGAAGCTAGGAACCAATCAAGAATCTGGTGCTCATGTGGTTCCTATGTAGCAGTACAGAGTCATTTGGACACAGCTGGAACTGAAGTGACTGCCGGTACTGTTTCTGCCGCACTGCACCACACTGACAGCCCACTCATTCTCTAACCAAACAAAGTACTCACATCATTTCAAGTGATGTGATCATGTTGTACCAAAGGGGATTTTATACAAAACATCACAAATAGGTTTCAGTTCCATTCACTCAAGCATCAAGCAAAAACAAAAAAGATCATTCTCTCAAGCTTGAAGAACAAGGTTGAACGCCACTACGAACCAATTCCTAAACGATTGATTATTGCTATCCTAGTTGAGTTGTAACCTTGTTATTGCACTTACAATATCTCCTAAATCTCTTACTTAGAAGTTTTACTGATTAGGAATCCTCTTGTAAATCCTCAGACTCGTTGAGTTTAGGTTGTGGCTAGATTTAGTCATAAAGAAAAGTCTTTGTAATCGTAGGGTTATAAAGTGGCTTGTGGTGACAACACCACAAGTTAGAAAAAGCCTTTGTAACTAGGATAGTCACAAAGTGGCTTGTGGTAAAGGTACCACAAGTTAGTTTGAAGTCTTTGCAATCGGGAGTATTGTAAAGTGGCCTGTAATAAGTAAGATTACAAGTTAGCGAAGTTAAAAGCCTACAAAGTAGGTCGTGGTTTTTTGATCCCCTTGTGCGGAATTTTTCCACGTAAAAAAATCCTCTGCCTCGTTTACTTACTACTTTATTAAGTATTCTCAGCAGAAACTTGTAGAGGACCAGATACTCTGAGATTTGGTGGATCCATACAAACTAACATGTACTCTTTTTCCTTCTTTAGAATTTTTTTCCCACTGGATTTTATTTTAGGTAAGGTTATAACGAGTCACATTATCTATTGAATAGACATTCAAGGGGGAGTGTTATAAATAGAATTGTATTTATGGCGAATGTCTATATTTAGAGAGATTCTAGGGTTCATTGCTTGGTGGCTAAATCACCCTCTCCCTATAAATAGAGAGTTCTATTCCATTGTAATTCATCAAATGTCAATAAAAATTCTTTCTCCCTACTTTTCTGTGCAATACTCTTCTTTCATTTATTGTTTTATAACACTTCTACAATAGTAGAGTAAAATGGGTATAAATAAAGTGAAAATTCAAAAACAACAATAACAAATTCACTGTAATCCCTCACACCGGGGGTTTGGGAAGGGTAATGTGCAGTCAGACCTTACCCCTACAATAATCAATTTCCGATTATTTGAATTGAGGCGTCATTATCATTTGAGGGTTAATTAGATATATTTATTCAAGACCAAAATTGAACCTTATATCCATTTTGAGTGCACAGTATGAACACAAGTAAAATTCTTGTACTTCTTATTCAAGCTTTTCATATTCACAGCCTGAATATCAATGTCAGCAAAGAACAAAATCCTTTCTATAGTAAACCAACTGAAAATATGTACAAGTTCAAAGCAGCTGGAATCCCTCTACACTTTGATACTAAAAAATGGCGCTGCAACCAAAGACTGTTTCTTGATGAACCAATTCATTGCCACATGTTCTACATTTAATAGCACAGATTTTGCATCCCTTGCATTTTCTCAAATGGAAAATCCCAATGTATTCGTTTACAACGCATTAATAAGAGCTTTTGTTCATTGTCACAGCCCACTTAATGCATTAAAGTTGTATATAGACATGTTAAAAACTCAAAATAGTCCAAATAGCTACACATTTTCGTCAGTAATTAAGGGTTGTGCTTTGATGTGTGCTTTAAGGGTAGGTGAATGTGTACATGGGCAAATTTGGAAATATGGGTTTGGATCCCATGTTTTTGTTCAAACTGGTTTGATTGATTTTTACTCTAATTTAGGTAGAGTTGATTTATCAAGATTAGTGTTTGATGAAATGCCTGAAAGAGATAATTTTGCTTGGGCTGCAACGGTTTCAGCCCATGCTAAGGCTGGTGAGTTGGGTGCTGCTAGAAGTTTGTTTGATGAAATGCCTGAAAAAATTACCCCTGCTTGGAATGCTATGGTTAATGGGTATGCAAGAACCGGGGATGTCGAGTCAGCTGAGTTGTTGTTCAAGGAAATGTCGAGGAAGGATTTGATATCGTGGACTACGATGATAAATTGTTACTCTCAGAACGGGATATATGGACGAGCTATAGAGGTTTTCTGTGACATGAAGAGTAACTTGATCACTCCTGATGAAGTAACAATGACTAGTGTTATTTCTGCTTGTGCACATCTTGGTGTCTTGGATCAAGGACAGGAGATGCATCTTTATGTTATGCAAAAAGGTTTTGATCTTGGTGTACATATTGGGTCTGCATTAATTGACATGTATGCAAAATGCGGGAGCTTGGAGAGATCACTCTTGGTATTCTATAAGTTGAGGGAGAAAAACCTTTTCTGTTGGAATTCTGTTATCGATGGACTGGCTGTTCATGGTTATGCAGAAGAGGCATTAGCTATGTTTAGCAGGATGGAGAAAGAGAAGGTAATGCCGAATGGTGTTACCTTCGTCAGCGTTCTTACAGCTTGTACACATGCAGGACTAGTTGAGGAGGGTCGGAAGAGGTTTCTAACTATGACCGGGTACTATGGTATCGTTCCTGAAATGGAGCACTATGGTTGCATGGTTGACCTATTGTGTAAAGCTGGTTTGCCAGAGGAAGCACTTGAGATTATTAGAAGCATGAGAATGGAGCCAAATGCTGTTGTTTGGGGTGCTTTACTTGGTGGGTGCAAGCTTCAGAAGAACTTGGAAATTGCTCAATTTGCTGTTGGAAAGTTGAGTATTTTGGAGCCAAAGAACAGTGGCTATTACGCCCTCCTAGTGAACATGTATGCTGATGCAAATAGATGGAGTGAAGTAGCCAGGATCAGGGCAATCTTGAGAGAATTAGGAGTAGAAAAAGAATGTCCAGGTTCCAGCTGGATCGAAATAGAGAAAAAGATCCATCAGTTTGCTGCTTGTGATAATTATCATCACTCTTCACAGGAGATTTATTCCTTACTAGATGGATTAGATGGGCAACTTAAGCTGGCTGCGAATGTTCAAGAGCTTGGATTTGTGTTCTAATGACATGCAAAGCCATTGTTGACAGCACAGACTTCATATTCAAAGTGGCTAAATATTTTGTATTCTGTTGCGGTGGATTTAGATCTGGAACTGTACATTCAAAGAGGCAAAGGTAATGCAAATTCATTCGAGTCACTAATCTTGTGCTATGTAAAATCATCGCAGCAACCGTTACATGGACATTTCGTACGGCTAAAGGTTCATAACTACAGCATTCAATTAAGTACAAATTCATTAAGAAGTTCACTCTTGGTAATATTTTTTTTTGTATGTTCGTTCTGTCTTTCTCATTATTATTTGATGCTTTAGTAAAATGATAATGCCAAAGTAAAAACTGGGTGATCAGGCTTGGAGATGAAAATGAGAAAGTTTGGAAATTTCAGAAATCATCTAGGGCGACGGGATATTTGAGATTAAGTTGCACTGTTTTGCCTTAGGTGGTTGGCCCTTAACCTTTTTTCTTCATTCTAATTTCTAGTACTTCTGGAGCTGCACTTAATGCCAAGGCGGGAAGTTACTGTTTGAAGTAAAATCCGAGCTACCACAGAATATGGATTGTATCTAGACAACTCTGAGTTCAAAGTTTTTCCAGTTGAATCAGTGGCTCGGGCGATGAAAGTTCTCTCCTCTGCTTTTTGAGACTCTAACCGGTGGCTATTAGGCACTTCGCAGTTCCTCCTTATCTCTCCAGGGCAGCCAGATTGGTCACCCATCTTTATCATCCCTTCAACAAAGGCCTCAAAGAATTTATCTTGGTTAGTGCTAAACCATCTTACATACTCACTTGTTAGATGGTATTTAAAAAGTGTTTTATCTGACTTTAGAAATCTTCGTCCATTGACTAAGTCTTTGAAGTACTGGTTATCAAATACTTCAGGTGTTGCATCCAGGATCACATTCCCATCTCCACCAAGTGGAGAAAGCCTGTCTAGCTTTTTCCTAAATCTTTGTTCAGTAGCAGGGTGAAGCCGGCCTGAGCCAGACTGGTTATATAGGCGAAAAATGATGTCAAAGCACCTTCCTTTGCCAATGGAACGAGAACCAGAAAGGGCTACAAGAATTAAATCTGCTGAAGAGATCAATGAGGTAGCTTGCATTTGATCTTGGACTTCGCATTATCTTGTCCGAGTCTTCTTGATTTGCTGTTAGGCTATCTAGCCTTCCTTATTTCACTCCCAATTTGGACCTCCACTCTGAGTAAAATAACAAAGCAACTCCTCTCAAAAAACTGTAGCTAAATACAAGTTTAATTTTTCTATGATGAAACCAGAAAAGATGAGAATAACATGGAGCGTTTTCTATTATTATCTTCTTGCTAGATACGTTGCTTCATTATGTTATACAGCTTCTTAGTTTTACGTTCGATTTACTCCTCAAATTGTGATTTACTTCACTAAAAGGAAGAATTAACCGTGACTCTCCTCGACTACTCGACCTTGATCCTCGCTGAAGAATTAACCGTGACTCTCATCGACTCCTCGTCCATGGTTAATATGGCTTCTTGGACCATCTTAAATGAGGGTTTGAGGATCCTTCTCGTAATGTCATTTTGACATGAATATTCAAAAGGCAGATTTTGACCCATACAGTAGGAATCTAATGCAAACTCTACTTGCACTTCGTTTATTCTTATAACACTAGTAAACCACGCATCATGTATTATGTTTAGGAATATGGCCTGAATCAGAGAGTTTCAATGACAAGGGTATGGGTCCAGTCAAGGAACTTGCACCAAAGGTTATGATTTCAATTCTTCCAGCTGCAATAGGTAACGGTCTTTGTTGAGTTATATTTATCCAATAAGGGCTATGTACAATTTCCGAAAGTGGATTACAGAGGTCTTGGGCAACTCTCTTAAGGTTTTGGACGTGGTGCTCATATTTTCTCACTCTGTCTTCAAACATTTGCCTATTCAGCTTATTAAGTACCTTGCTAGGTGTTTCAGTTTGATTAGAAGTTTTACTGTCTACATTCATGGACATGTATCAGGAAACTGATAGGCGCAAGGTTTTACGATGACCCTGGCGACTCTCCAACGCCTGTTACAGGGACACCTAGGGACCACGATGGGCATGGTACTCATGTTGCAGCCACGGCAGCAGGGAGTCCAGTGGCAGATGCATCTTATTATGGGTTAGCAGCAGGAACAGCCAAGGGTGGGTCTCCAGGGTCCAGGATTGCAGTGTACCGTATATGCACGCCTTATGGATGTAGTGGATCGGCTATTATGAAAGCATTTGATTATGCCCTTGCGGATGGGGTTGATATCATAAACTTATCAATTGGTCAACCAGCTGGAGCAGAGTTCGAGTTTTCAAAAAATCCTATTGCCATTGGAGCCTTCCATGCTGTAGAGAAGGGCATTCTTGTTGTCGCCTCTGCTGGAAATGATGGCCCTTTACGAGAAACTGTTGTGAATGTTGTTCCTTGGATTTTCACAGTTGCTGCTACAACTATCGACAGAAACATTGAGACACATATTCCCTTGGGCAGGAACAAGCTGATTAAGGTATTTAAAAAGAAAAACACTGTTATTCTAACCACTAGCTATCTTCAAAAACATCTTTCAATACCCTTGTTGATTCTTAGGGTGGAGGTATTAGCTTTGGTAATCTCAGTAAATCTCCAGTCTATCCATTGCCGGCCAGTGAATCTGCCAACTTAACTATTTATGACGGGGTGGCAGGGTAATTGGAAGATTGAAATATATTAGTTCCCATTTCTAGGTCTCCCTTGGAAATAAAATTGTACATACCTGCAACTAACTTTTGGGAAATTTCAGAGAATGTGAACCAGATTCACTCGACGAACACAAAGTCAAGGGTAAAATTGTTGTTTGTGAATATCACGTTGATGATTATTCAATCGAAGATAGGCTAAACGAAGTGAAGAACAAGGGTGGCATTGGATTTATATTAGTTATTCCTGATGATGAGTTAACTCATAGTGGCACCCAAACTAGGATCCTTTCCAGGTGCAGTAATCACTCAAGGGGATGGCATAAAATTCATCAACTCAACAAGGTACTCACTTTAGTTCTCAGTAAGCACTTGGCGTTACATACTAACTGCACTTCCATATTTTCTCAAGGAACCCCGTGGCAACAATTCTACCAACTGTTAGTGTAGATAATTTCAAACCAGCTCCTGTTGTTGCTTTCTTCTCATCAAGAGGCCCTGCTTATAATACTCCAAACCTCTTAAAAGTAAGCTATCCATATGTTTTTCCCACCAATTTGACCACTGCTCGATTTGTGCCCCTCGTGCACGACCATGCTAGTCTTCTCTCTAATTTTCAATTTTATTGAATATCCGTTGATACATACTTATGTTATAAAGCAGAAGTTATGATCCACGCCAGATTGCCAGTAGATCACATACTGAATGGTTTCTGACATGTACTTGCAGCCGGACATTGTAGCACCAGGGACTGCAATACTTGCAGCTTGGCCAGCAAATGACACAGAAGTGTCTCTGTCCGGCCAAGAACCACCACTATTCAACATCCTCTCAGGGACTTCCTTGTCTTGTCCTCATGTTTCTGCAATTGCTGCAACACTGAAGTCTCAAAATCCCACCTGGAGTCCTTCAGCCATCAGATCAGCTATAATGACCACAGGTAGGAACCTGATAATAGTTGAAGTATGTCAGTGCCACTACTGACGGCTCTTGCAAAAGCAGTCTCATTCTCTTCTTCTTTATTCCCTCTTTTCTTTAATAGCTTTTCAGGAAAGCAACTTGAAGAGTGCAATGTTAATCAATAGTGCATACGGAAAGTACCTTGCCACGCCATATGACTTTGTTGAAGGAGTAGCAACTATGTCTGGACCACTGAAACCAGGTTTGGTTTATGAGACCGAGATCACAGACTACCTGCAATTCCTCTGCTCTACAGGCTATAACATATCAACAATAAAACTCATCTCAAATACACTTCCAAACAATTTCTCATGCCCCACCAACTCAAGTGCTGAATCAGTCTCCAATATGAACTACCCGTCCATAGCCGTTTCTATATCCACAGAAGAAGAAACCAGACCAGAACTCTAACTAACATCAGTGAAGAAGAAGAAGCAGTATATACAGCTATAATAACAACACCAGATGCATTGAGAGTCCGAGTGACTCCAAAAACGTTGAAATTTACAAGTCGAGTGAAGAAACTGAGCTATCAAGTGACTTTCAAAGCTACATCTTCAGAGAGAGAACTTTTTGGATCAATTACATGGTCCAAGGGAGGTACAAGGTTCGAAGTCCATTTGTTGTAACGTAACCTCTTAATACCAAATTGCTTGTAACTTTTTATGCCAATGGATCCATTAAAAAAGAAGTGTTCATTTCTTGGTGCGTACAATACTTGTTCTCTAGCAACAACTCGTAAAAATGCCATGATAGACAATTCAGCTAATCTAAAGGGCAGTCCGGTACACTAAGCTCTTGCTATGCGCAGGGTTCGGAGAAGGGCCGGACCACAAAGTCTATTGTACGCATTCTTACCCTGCAATTCTGCAAAAGGTTGTTTCCAAGGCTCGAACGCATGACCTCCTGGTCACATGACCATAAAGCCACAATTCAGCTATCTATTGATTCTAATTTTTTTGTTTGAAAATATGGGGAGACATTTTAAGAGCTGCAATCACCAAAAAGTGAGAAATTTGTATGTCAATTATAAAGGTGGTGAACATTTTCAAACAAGCTGAAAAACCAGTAATACAGTCACAAAAATTAATGAATACAGTCAACACTATACCTTCTTCGTCCAAAAAAAGAATGACACAGTGTCAAATAGGAGAATCAAATCACCTAATCACCCGGGTGAAACAGGACACAGATAATTTTAGTCACAATCTTTTTTATAATCACAAGTATTAAAAAGTATTTGAATTTGTAGTTAAAGAAAAAAAAGTACTTGACTCTGTAAATAATAATAATGTCATATACAGAGAGAGAGAGAGAGTAACAGTAACAATTCATTCCATTCATTTCTTTTATAATGCGACACTTCTTCTCTCATCAGTTTGTGCCAAAAAAAAGACTGACATCTATCTGTATATGAAAATTTTATTATCTTAACATTTCTAGTTCACTTAATGGAATGACTTGTCGAACATCTCTAGATATTAAATCACATATTATAATATTTAAAATGCATATGTGTCAAATAAATCATTATTTTTTAAATTTCATATATTCAATTAAACAATAGAAAGCTTAGGCCCTTCAACTTGTAGTGGAAATGACACAAGGTAGCCACTTTTAAGCATACTGTTTAAAATATATCCACAATTTTACAATGTATTTAAAGGTTAGCCAATTTCGCTCAAACTTCAGGACACAGCGTCCTAGAGTTTAAACCTCAAAGTTCAAATTTCAGGACATCACGTCCTAAAGTTCGAAAATTGTATCCAGAAGTTCAAATCTTATGTCTTGGATTTTAAATTAGTAGTTTAGAAATTGGGTGAATTGGCTAATATTTAAATACATTGTAAATTATGGATATTTTTAAATAGCGGGCTTAAAAGTGGCTATTGCTGTACTTCGCCCAAAGTTGGATAGTTCTCCAAATTGGGCCCTGACAAAGTTGGATAATTCTTCAAATTGGGCCTTTGACCAGCCCAATAATTTTAAAACCCAGCCTAAACCTTCTTCAGTTTCTGTAACTCCCACTCTGCTTCCCCTTCACCTGTTTTAACACAATCTCAGATTCTCAAATTCTGAGAGGGATCTCTCACCATTCGAACTCGCTGTAGTTAATTAGGAAAAACTAAAGAGCAAAATGGGTTTCAGAGGAAGAAAGTCAAGAACTCAGAGAAAGCACTTCGTTCAAAGCAGAGAAAATAACTGGAAAAGCAGCAACGAAAATGGTGGTTCTGATGAGCAACAACAAAATGCTGCTACCACTGATAATAATAGTAGTAACAATAATAGAGAAAACAGTAACCCTACTTGGCAACGCTTCGCCACCCAAAACCTTGCCTTTGATGAATATTATAAGGTATACTGTCTTTTTCCGAATTTTATCAGACTGTATTTAACTTGACTAGAAGTTAAAATGTTAATTTGCCTTTTATTTTTATTTAATTTTTTTTATAATTGTGGTGTCTGGGCCAGCTTGCACATAGGCAGATGAGAGTAATTTTTTTTATTAGTGAACATGAAAGAAAATAATGAAGTATTGGTGAAAAACTTAAGTTCAATAGAATATGAAGAAAACACCATATCAAAGTTTGAAATTTGGATAATATAATGAATTTGAATCCTTGAAAGTTGTGGAATTTGTGTAGAGATAGATTGGTTTTAAACATTTGAGACATCCAAAATGGATAGATTGTCATTTATTATTATTGTCTTTTTGGTGAGAAAGACGGTATAATATGTTATTAATCTAAATTAGTATCACTACATGCATGGTGTTTCGTCCAGCATTGAAATTGCTCGGACATGCCAAAATATTACCAGTACCAGGAAAAATTGTCGGTTGGTAGGCAGAGAGGCGGATCCAGGATTAAACTCTATCGGTTCAACCTTTAAGGTTCTTAGTATTGAACTCCTTATATTTTAGTGAATTTTTTTACACATAAATTTATGCTCTGCGTTGAAAGGTATGAGTCAATTGAACCCGTCTCTATAATGCTACATCTGCCCCTGGGTGAGCAGGCAAAATAGACATGGGAGGGTAATCTAGGTAAAAGTATTTATAACATCTTCTCTTAAGTCCCTCTTTTGCAAATAGATCAGCTATATCACTCTGTTCTCGGATCTGCAATCATGTAAAATAAGCAGTATATATTGGAGAGTTAGTGTATAACAAATTAGTAATTTCAGTGAAGTGAGTATCCACTTCCAATGGAAACATTATCATCTAAGTTAATATGGTACAAATTGGAACAGGGAGGAGTAATATATTTGTTTGTTTGGTTTTTCGTATACATGCAATGGTATATATAGAATACATGGATTTGGGTGATAGTATGTGCATATCTGTATAGGAGCAAGAGATTGTGCCACCAGAAGAGTGGAATACTTTTATAGACTGTCTTCGAAGCCCGTTGCCTGCTGCTTTCAGGATCAATTCAAGGTCTCTGTCTCTTTTCATTATCATTTGATAAGTTTTCTTTTTAACAGCTAATCAGCAATCAAATAGTTAAGTAACATAGCAAAGATTGTATCAATGTCCTTCATCATATCATGGAAATCTAATTTTTACATTAAGAAGTGTGATTTAAAAGGACTCATGTCTTCACGCATTCTCTCAATTCTTTTTCCCATTTCCTTTATCCTCAGTTTTAATTTTGTAATATTAACAACTGAGTTTGTTTCTTCTGTTGGAAGTAGTTGATTATATATTTCTTATTTTTGGTTCCTCTTATTATGCTTATTTGGATTATTTTAGCAAGACTAGACTTTATATCCTTTCACATGGACTGAGGCTAACTCTGCTATGTGTTACAAAAAATGTACAACAACTGATGTAAACAATAAATTTATTGTGCACTTTTGAGCAACTGTCTATCATGTGAAAAAGCTTTTAGAAGCTTTAAACTTCTCACTTGTTCAAGAACGTTATACTGTTTGTATTCCGGATGGTTTACGTTAGTTACTGCAATAGTAGTATATGCCCATATTTCCTGTTTATTTGCAAGTCAGCCTTGTTCAGAGTAACAGCAGACTGATAGCCCGTTTGGCCAAGCTGCAAAAATCAGCTTATTTTGAGAAGTGTTTTTTTTCAAAAGTGCTTTTCTCAAAAGTACTTTTGGTGAGAAGCAGTTTGTGTTTGGCTTATTAGTTTGAAAAGCACTTCTGAGCAGCAATTAGTGTTTGGCCAAGCTTTAAAAAACTGCTTCTAAGTGTATTTTTCTCAAAAGTGCTTTTAAAAAAAGTGCTTTTGGAGAGAAGCTACTTTTTTCTGCTTCTCCTCAAAAGCACTTTTTTTCCTTCCAAAAGCTTGGCCAAACACCTCAATTTTTTGCCAAAAGTGCTTTTGGCAAAAAAAAAGCACTTTTGGCCAAAAAGAAGCTTGGCCAAACAGGCTATGAATCAACTGCAAGTAGCATATACCTGCTGCAATAACTTAATGTTATCTTCAATCATTATTGTACGAGGTGCAGCTTTAAAATTTCTGATTAAGTTAACAAGGATTCAGAAGAAAACATATTCCTCTGGTGTTGAGGGCTAGCTCACCCGAGCTCCCTGCCTTCCACAATTGAGGTGGAGGGCGTAGCATTACCTTACCCTTTCTCCCTCCGCCTCCCTCCCGTAATGTAATTAAAAAAAATTCAAAAAAAGTAGCCAAAAGAAAGCATATTCCTTTAAACTTCAGATTAAATGAATAAAAACCTATAAGTTCAAGTTCCTAATTGGAAGTGAAAGCCAAATAAACTTGCTTATAGTGAAAAGTTCACATTGCTCTAAGGCGCTTCAAAGAAATGAACTAAATTGAGCTAATTTTTTTTTGTTAATTTTGCAGTAGCCAGTGCTACTTGGAAATTCTATCCAAGTTGGAGAATGATTTTATGAAGTCTCTACAGGAAGAGGTTCATCAACTGATTATGCTTACTTTTTCTTATTGAATTATGAAATTTCTGCAGTATGTATGCAGCTCTTAGCTTAAAGCCTTCAGTGATGTTCCTAAAACTGTTTTGTGATTCAGGGGACAGATGGGAGTGAGGTTGAGGCAATTAGGCCATTGCCCTGGTATCCAGAGAATCTTGCCTGGCAGTCAAATTTTTCTCGCCAGCAGTTGAGGAAAAACCAAATACTTGGGAGGTTAGAGATACAGTTTCTGTTTATGCTGTAACTTTTGAATAGTGTGAATTAATTACAATCTGAAAAAAGATCATACCTAAGTCTATTGCAAATGATAACAAATATGGCTTTTTGGAAAAGACATTTCAAGTTTTCAATACCTTGTTATGAGCCAATTATCTATTTGACCTTTTCAATACTTTACATCAGTTCAAATTGTTGTTGACACTGGTGCTAAGCTTGAGTCTGAAATAAGTTCGCTCTTTGAGTTTCCTTAGTTCCTTTCTCTCTGCTGGTATCACGTGTAGGACTGGGAACAAATCTGTTTTTTTTTTACTTTTTCTGTGTAAAGCGTCTGTGTAGTACTTTCTTTTTAAATTTTTTTAATTTTATTTTTTCATTTGACTCACTTATAGCTTTCTACTGTATGATTTTTGATAATTTCCTCCACGTGATTGTGACATGCATATAATTGTGATCTAAGATGGTTATGACATTATTACCGCGAGGGGAAAGGGCCAAAGATAACCTGAACTATTCGAAATAGGACAACTTTGCCCTCCGTTTCGTTCTTGGCACAAAAATGCCCTTACCGTCAGTCAACTAGCTCAAAAATGAATTCCCCACTACCAAATAGCTCAAACATACCCTTCCCACTAACGGTTGATCAAGAACAAGGGGAAAAGGGTCAATTTTGCCCTTGAACTATTCGAAATGTTGGACTATAATGCTAACATATCCATAAGATAAGACCAGTGCACTCGGAGGTCCTTATGAAAAAAACATAACCAAACCATCACAGGTGATATTCCCTCATCTTTTTCTCTATATTTGCCGCTAACACCTTTTGAAGAATGCGATCATTGCTCTTTACACACATTTTAAAGTTCTGTTTTGGATGTGCTTTGTATCAGCATTTCATTCGTGCTGTTTTTTTTATACCAATTAGTTGGGGTTAAGGTTAGCTGTTATTGGTAATACTTACATTTGGTCCAGTGTTTGATAGAAGTCTCTTAGGTTTTGATTAGAGATTGCTACCTTTTGCTTATAAAAGAAAAGATTTGGTTAGAGATTGCATGATAGTATACGGATAAGTGTGAGATTTAGAGAAAATCTTAATCTCTATTTATAGAGAGTCCTTAATTTCCTCAAAGAGAGACTATTGAATGGTGGAACGAACTGGTCCCATGGAGCAGAATGGATATAGAGGATTCAAATAGTTGGCTTCAACTTACATGGGATTGAGACATGGTTGTCGTATAATTATGTTCAAATGAAAAAAATGCACATCTCACATAGAAAATTTTATATCTAGAAGTCCATGTCCTGTTCCCCTTTCTGGATCAACAATCTTATACCCTTCCTAGTAATTCTCCCCACCTCAATTGAAAATTGTGCAATTCTTTTTCCTGGAATCTGTGGACAGTCAAGAAATTTACGGATTATAATTGAAGACAACTTTTGGTTGTCTCTGGTATTGATTTTTGTCATCACACAAAACATTCAGGTTCCATGAGTTCTTGAAGCTACAAAATGAAATTGGTAACATTACGAGACAGGAGGCTGTGAGCATGGTGGGGCAACTATTGCTATGCTGATTTGTTTGGTATATACAGGTTACGACTGTGCCCTTTATTTATCTTGTGACTGGCTGACTGCTTTGACTCAGGTTCCTCCTCTGTTCCTGGATGTACGACCCGATGATTTCGTTCTCGACAGTAAGCTATTCTTTAATACTCTGTATCTATGTTCATTTTGCATCTCTTCATTAATATATGGATATCAAACTGGATAAATAGAAGCTTTACTTTTCCCTTTATCGTGCAGTGTGTGCAGCTCCTGGTTCAAAAACGTTTCAGTTACTTGAAATGATACACCACTCAGCTGAACCTGGATCATTACCTGGTGGAATGGTCTCCTTCTTTCCTCATTTTTAAAATCGTTGATGTCTATGCAACTCTCTCTGTAGCTCTTTCACCTATTGTTGTTGAGATGCATCCTTGTAACATATTTTTAGTTCTCTTTGAAATGCCCGTTATATAGGTCTTAGCGAATGATGCTGATGTTCAAAGGTGTAATCTTCTCATCCACCAAACAAAGAGAATGTCCACTGCCAACTTGATAGTCACGAATCATGAAGCACAGCACTTTCCTAGCTGTCATTTGAATAGAAGTTATGCAAAAGGTTCTGAGCCTCCAGAAGCAAAGGAACTTGATATTGATCAACTTCTATTTGATCGTGTCTTGTGTGATGTTCCATGTAGTGGTGATGGAACTTTACGCAAGGCTCCTGATATATGGAGGAGATGGTAGTTATTTATGAACTACTATAGTCATTTTCACTCTCATTTTGCATTCTACAATCAATACAATTGTCTTCTGTTCCCTCCTAACCCCCTCTATTTTTCTTTTGTACAGGAATGCAGGAATGGGTAATGGTCTACATGGACTACAGATTCAGATAGCAATGCGAGGTTCATTATACTTTCTCTCTCTCTCTCTCTCTCTCTCTCTCTCTCAATCGTACATTATTGTTCTAACTCAAACAAGCTGACTGTCACTAACCTATCATGGATAAGAATGAGTTTGTTGGCTATTTCGGAGATTTACTATTATGAGTGTAACACACAAACGATAAGATAAGATAAGGTCGTGTGAGATGATTTAACCATGTCTATGTTGACCTTCAGGTTTTGCGGTCCATAGATATGACAATATGATAATTGAAGGTAATAAAAGGGATGAGGTAAACCTAAAATCATAAAGAGGGAAGTTGTCTCAAAGTTTTAAAATCTCTCGAAATCATAGTCTTAGCTAAGAACAGAATATCATGGAAGTAAAGGATCCATATATGCGGTCTAAGGTTAGGAACTACTGTCATGACCTGAATTTAGAAACTGCTTTTATGCCACAGTTGCACCAAACAAATAAGAAAGGAATTTTCATGCACATCAAAGAGAAATTGCATAAACAGGCTATTTTATATGCTTGGTTAAAATTTAAAAGATTCGGCCCTTCCTAAGTAAAGATAGAAAGGAAAATATTCTAGTTGTCCGAACAAGATGGATTGGAAGACCACAAAAGCATGAGATGAATTTTATGTCTTTCAAGAAGCAACATCAGTTAAAGTGTTAAACTATAATTTAGTTGCTTGGATTGTTGTGGAACCCTGGCTATATTTTCCCTGCTAGGGATGTTTATTCCTTGAGCAATATAGAAGAGAGAAGCTTAAGTCTTTAGGAGAAGTTTCTCGAAGAGTCTGAGCTTTGGAGAGATGCTAGTAACTAGAACGACATGAAAGGTTGCTGAACTGACACATGGTTGTTCGTACATATATTTCAGGTATGTCTTTGCTAAAAGTTGGTGGAAGGATGGTTTATTCAACTTGCTCAATGAATCCCATTGAGAATGAGGCTGTGGTTGCCGAGGTAATTTTCAGAAAGAATGCATCACATATTTATTACGATTTTGTTAACTTGTGTAGCTTTTATCACAAAATGAAAATTATGCTCACTTTTTGCTTCCCAGAAAGTCAATGAGTGATACTACCAAAAGTAGAAGGAAAAAGAAAAGAAAATTACTCGATTACGATAGGGAGGAAGAGCTGAAAAAGGAACCCCTCATTGAACTCTCTAGTCATTGCAATGGCTGCAAATTTTTAGCTGATTTTCTTTTTTACAGCGCTCCCTTTATTCTTCCCCCTGTCCCCCTACACCCTGGTTTGTCTGACCTTATATCTACAAATGTGGTGCAAGTATTCTTTCTCTTTGATTTATTTGTATGTTTTCCTTTGCTATGTAACTACGATATCTCATTAATATAATGGACACGATAGTACTTAATTTTTATTATGGATTTCATAGAAATTACTTGGATTTCTCCCTTCAATGTTGAACAAAACTGTAAAAATAGTAGCTGAATGTGCAACCTCTCTGTCCCTAGTATTACACCCATTCTTCATAATTACTTTTTCTGCTGATGTCATAATCATCATAATTCTGCTGAGTGACAGAGATAACAATATTGATATTGCATTGCAACTTTGTAAATTCTAAGTCCACCTTTCCTTCTCGTTAAACCTGGTTGTTCTCTTGTTTCTCAGATTTTAAGGAGGTGTGGGGGATCTGTTGAACTCATTGATGTCTCCAGTGAACTTCCTCAGCTTGTTAGAAGGCCAGGTCTGAAAAAATGGAAGGTTTGTGGTAATTTTTCTTGGTGCTCATTTGCGATCTTTTTCCTGTCTAATATTCGGAGATGACAGATTTTTTTTTGACAATGTAACATTCGGAGATGACAGATTTTGGCTAACTTGCTTTGCACGAGGTTGGGGCATTGACTTTCAATGTTAAGGCTGTTATAGTAACTAAAATGGAGAAGGGAGTTTTACGGAGAGAATTGCTTATCTTGCACAGGGATCTTGCTTTTCAGTTTTTCCAATGTTAGCATGGTTGTGGGATTCATGTCAAATCAAGTTCAAATACTATAAGACTATATCTGGAGTGGGAATACCCTTTCAGTCGAGAATAAATTCCTCAGACCTAATATTAACTACTTGAAATTTACTATCATGTTCACATGTATTAAAAATACAACTAAATAGGCCTTTTTATACAAGGTGAAGAAGGGGCTGTAAGAAACCAAATCCTTTTCAGTTTGCACAAGGTAATTCTTTACCAAATATTGTAACTTTTAGCAAGATGCTGCATAGGTTTGCCTCCTTTACTTTATTCTGTATTCCATCTTCCATGTAGTGTATTCTGTAGTAGCCTTAGATCAGTCAGCTTACTTAAAATCTAGTATCCATCTTTAAATTCTTATTTCCAAATTATACTACACAGGTATGATAGCTTTATGCTGCTTCGTTGAGTTTTAATTTAGTAATCAATCTTCTATGCATGCAGGTTAAAGATAAAGGAATGTGGTTGACTTCTTACAAAGAAGTTAGTAATTCTCGCAGAGCTGCAGTTGTTCCTGGAATGTTCCCCCCTGGCAAAGCCTTTGTGGATGCACCTGAGCATGATGATGATGCGAGTAGAAGTCAATTGCCTGATAATGGGAGTAATAGTAACTCTCAAAATGGTATTGCGGTGGTGCAGGATCCTGCAACTCAAACTACAATCTTGAATGAGGAAGCTTCAACTTTGCCTTTGGAACGTTGTATGAGGATAGTGCCACATGATCAGAACACTGGAGCCTTCTTTATTGCTGTCTTTCACAAGCTTTCTCCTTTGCCAGGTGAGTTTTGGGGCATTTAACATTTAATTATGCATGATATGGCTTAGTTCTGATAGAACATTTGCGCAGCTTAATCTTCTTTTGTGGTCTGGTTGTGCTTGTGCACAAGTGGAGTAGTTTTGTCATTTTCATGCATTAGGCGCAGGATCACATGCCCTTGATATCATAATACAGTTTCCTATCTTACTTTTGAGCTGTACTTATGTAATTATTGAGGTTCTGCTCTTTATGACTTTGCAGTCATACAGAAGAGGCCTTTTGATCAGCCAGGGAAAACTTCCACAGGCAATTTCCAAGCACAAAGTTTTACTGAGGTCAAAGATATAAATACTGATGAAGTTGAGCAAGTGGATTCTGTAGGTAATCAGCTATCTGAAGTGACTACGGATAATGATGATGATGATGATGATATACTTGAAAATGGAAAGGATGAAGCTCCACTGGATACTGACCCCAGTAAAATGGTGAACGAAAAGAGGACGGAGCAGATTGAACCTCCCAGTGATGGAAGATCTGGCCTTGAGTCGGTTAGAGGGGAAAGAAAGTTACAGATGCAAGGAAAATGGAGAGGGATTGACCCAGTAATATTTTACCAGGAGGAGGCAGTTGTGGGTCAGATAAAGGCATTCTATGGTATCAAAGAATCCTTTCCATTCAAAGGTCATTTAATTGTTAGGAATAGTGATATCAACCATGTGAAGAGAGTTTATTATGTATCTAAATCTGTGAAAGAAGTTCTTGAACTCAATATTTTAGCGGGTCAGCAGCTCAAGATAGCTGCCGTTGGGCTCAAGATGTTTGTAAGTCGCTCAAAATTGACACTTGAAATTTCTGTTCTTGTGACTCATCTCATACTGTAGTTTCTTGGTCATGTGTTTGAATGTCCATCATTTGCACAGTTTCTCTTAGAAAAGAACTTAGCAACCTGCACCTTTCCCCCTCCCTCTTCTCTGAGAAAGGAAAGGAGGTCCAGGACAAAGCAAGTCTGCTAATAAGCCCTCTTAAATAAGAAGTAGTAGAATACAAAAAGCACCATTCCGATGACCTTTTTTGTCCTATTTTTCTGTGACTTCTTTCTATTGTACTATTCGGATGACTTCCTGTCTTGTTTCCCATGTTGCAGGAGCGGCAAAAATCGAAAGATGCTGGTGCATTCCGCATAACATCTGAAGGGTTACCATTGATGTTGCCACATATAACCAAACAAATACTGTATGCATCTCCTGTAGATTTCAAACATGTTTTGCAGCACAAGAGCCTTAAATTTGGTGATTTTGAGGATGCTAAATTTCGGGAAAACGCTTCAAAGCTGCAGTTTGGTTGTTGTGTGGTGGTTCTGAACAAAGGTTAGATGTGATCTGGTATCTTCATTTTAGTAAACGCGATTGGTTTGTTCTTGCATAACTTTGCTTTGTATTTCTTTCAGATAAGACCTTGTCAGAACCTCAAGTGGATGCATCAACTATCGCTATAGGATGCTGGAGAGGCCGGAATAGCATCACAGTGATGGTCACTGAACTTGATATCCAAGAACTCCTAGAAAGGATGTTGATGTATATGGAGGAGAATACAGATACCTTCTTGTTGGAAAACAAGCCATTGACTGCTGAGGCAGATAAAATAGTTAAAGCAGATGAAGCTGAATTGAATATATTGAAAAACAATGAGACAAATCATAGGTAAAACTAACAATTTTGGAAGTTGTTATAAGTGTACCATTGCAGGGGCATTTGTGAGATGCTGCTGCTTATTTGTTGGTTTCTTCTGTTTAGGCATTTTTACAACTCTAGATTTCAGATGAAAATGGAGGGAATGATCCCCTTTGTAATCTTACTTTTATTTATTTTAATCAAAATGTTGAAGAACCAACTTAGCAACTGTGGTTGGATGACTAAAAGTCAAATCTCAGTCAATGGTAAAATATGAAATATTATGTTGTGTATAATGCTTTTATAACTCTATATTCCTAAGCCGAGGGTCTTTCGGAAACAGTATTTCTGCCTTCTTGAAGGTAGGGGTAGGGGTAAGGTCTGGTTACATACTACCTTTCCCAGATCCCACTTGTGGGATTGCACTGTGTGTGTTGTTATTGTTGCTGCTTTTATAACTCTACTAGTATCCGTACCCCCACGATGCGCGGGGAATTATAAAATTAAAAAATAATAAGAAATATTACTTGAAATGGTAATGAAAAGTGATCAAAAATAATATGTTATTGGTTAATGAAAGTAACAACCTCTACTTCTTAAACCCTATTTGGAACAAAAAAAAAATAGTCACAATCTTTACTCTACAATATATGTAACAAAATCACTGTCTCTGTTCAATTAGCTTGAATTTATTACATAAAATAAAATAAAATAATGAGCTTTACGAACAAAGCATTCTCGTCGAACTCCATCTTTCTCTGGAATATAAATCTAAGCAAATGCAAACTGAACTCACTTTTCACAACAAATTCCACGAAACTGTTTGCTTTCTCTGGCTAGAAACTTTATCTGACAAATGAATTCATGTAATGATCAAAGATCGAACATCAAAGATTAACCTTTGGATAAACTTGTATGATTTTTGTCTTCCACAACCAAAGTTGTTGTTTCTCGATGTATGACTTTACACTTCCTGAATTGTTAACTCGATGGGAAAAACTAAACAAAAATATTACAACAATGATGAAGACAGAATTTGGCAAAGAAGTACGGGCAATGTTACATTCACATATGTAAGATCATGCCTAAACTAACTGAAAGGGTAATGTTTCTTTGCACTTAGAGTCGCGCAAATTACATATTTTAATCCATGTAGTTTAATCATTCCTAATACTTTATGAGTTTTAATGAGAATACTCCATTTTTAAAAACAACCCCATCTGCTAAGAATAAAGGCTAAACTGATATGAAAGAATTCTAGAAAAAAAAAATCTTCCTTTCACTATTTAAATCGAGGAAACAAACAAAAACTTAAGAAATTCTTTCTTGTGATTTAAAGATTTTAAAGAAGGGAAAAGTTTTATGTATTACGTTGATAAAAACAAAGTATAATACAATAGTATTGAATTTATATAAAAGATAGATCCTAGTAAATTGAATAACTTAGCCTAGTTATAGAGAATTAATTTTAGAAACGAAGAATCAGATCTTTTGGCCGAAAACATTCTTAAGCTGCCAAAATCTATGCAATATCCTTAAGTATCCATGTGGACAAAGGATATCCATAAATCTTATCAAAGTGAACAGATCTTTAATTGCACACTTTAAAAAGCAAATAAAACCCACAATCATTGTGCATGACATCCTACTGTCATACTAAAGATATTAATTGTTTGATCCCTCAAATTTTGTTTATAAACTACATATATACATCAACCTATTTGTGATATTCTTCAACCTATTTGTTATATCAAGTTATATTTCTTTAGATTGTAATGAGCCACTTGACAACATAATGTTAACTCAAACTGAAGCACTTACCTGGAGTAGTTTTGAATGCTAAAATTAGAGTTTTGATGCTTCCTTCAGATTCATGTTCTTATAGCTCTGCCTTCTCAGCAATGTTCAAGAAGACTTTTTAGCATTGTAAGACATATGGATGTCCCATATGCCAAACTCAATTTAACTACTTTCTATCTTAGCAAAGAGCTTCTGATGCAGACGTGCACACATACATACACATGTAAACAGAATATCAGAAATGTTATAATATTAATACGTCTTCTGATTCTCCTTGTCGTGAGGAACAACAAATGCCAAGCATGACTTATCTTCATCTTTTGGTGTGACATCTAAGTCAAGTCAAACAAAAAACTTAAGTTAGGCGCATGAGTTTATTTACAGTAGAAAATATCAAGAAAAAATTCTTGGTAAAAGGACATGTCTGAAGAATTCTTTGACAATCTCAATACATTTCCTGTCTATCATATTACTTGTGGAATTCACATCATCAAGACAGTAAATTATGCCCTTTTATATAACTCCAATTTGATAAAATAAAATATTAACTTCCTTCATAGAATGTGTTGTCAAAATGATTGAGTGCACTTGCCTTATAGCGCCAATAACACTTGCAATGCTATGCCTACTAAAAGTGTCGAAGGCTTCTGTAACCTTAGATTCATTATGATGTTTGACTTTAGAGTTTGCTACATAATTAAGTATGATATCAACGAAAATAGTTTTAGTTTTTGTAAAGATTGAATTGTCACATGATAATGTTATTACTTATTAGTATCTCTTACTTTAATATGTAAAGTATATTGTCCTTGCATAATTTTGTCACAATATGCTTCAGAGTTAAGTCTCAATGTGATAATGTCCCATTCCTACTTTGAGTTAAAAACTTGATAGTGTTAAAAACTTTAATCTGAAAGGCTACCTTCAAAATGTTTATGTGTATCCTGTTTTCAAATGGCGATGAGGACTTCATGAACAAACTGGAGATTGATAGCATGATTTTCCCCACAAAACGCTAATCAAGATTAAATACACTAGTGCCCAGCAAAGTTAGCGCTGACTCGTATCCGTCACTTCCTGATATATATATATATATATATATATATATATATATATATATATATATATATATATATATATATATATATATATATATTCAGCATTCACACATGGAAGGAAAGAGTCAAAAGCAGAAGGAAGTACATCACCTGAGATGCATAATTGCAAACTGATGATTAGATGCTTAGCAATTTACTCATCGAACAACGAAAAATCACAAAGAACGATTTTGGATGAAATTTTTCCCGGCAAATTTTTCGGTGAAAGAAAAAAGGGAACTATACGTTTTTTCTAATCCAATATATGCAAGAGGAGAAATTCAGTTAGTTTTTAAAAGGAAGGGGAGGGGAGGAAATGGGAGTAGTTGGTGATTTTTATTGGTAGTTTCTATTGCTTGAAAAATTTAAAATTTTTGAATTTTGAAAAAAAAGGTGTCTTTCACATCTATTTTTAAATAAATATGAATTTTGAAACTCCAAGAAAGTTGGAGGATTGTCCAAATTTTTTACATGTGTCAATTTAATGTTATGCCACTTGTCATCATAATAGTTCTTTGCCTCTCCTATTATATATTAATAGATAATTTTTGGGCAATGAGGTGGTTCTTGATAATTAGTTTTCGAGAAGGGATTTTCTAGCTTCCGTTTTCTTTCAGACAACCAGTCTCTTAGTTATAAACAGATAATCTAGGAGCGTAAGATTTTTGTACAAACGTCTCAACATATTTTATGTTTTGTTTAATAATTTAAGTACAAAAAATCTAAAAGGAGTGTATATAGCAGCAAACTTCAAACGATTCAGGAACTTACATGTCGTTTATGAAAAAAGAAACTTCCTAGTAGTATTTTTAAAAACTCATTTTAGCTTTTGTTAATGAGATCAACAAGATTTTGAATAGATTGATCAGATAATACAATAGGGTGAGAGGTCTAAAGAGGCAGAAGCTACATTATTTAGGGAATATCCAAGTGAATTTACAATCAGATCACTTATAAGATAATTATTGGTAGATGTTTATGATATACATTAACTGTAACCTACTAAAATTAGTACCAAACAAACGTGTTATCATATGTCAAATTTCATGGATTGTGTAATTTTATTTTAAGTCGTCAGTGTATATACCTATATTTGGATTTAGTCATCTCACCGATAAACAGTTCATTCAATTCAGATGTACATTGACTTAATCCAAAAGTAAATATATTTTGTGTTTTATTCTCCTAGCAAACAACGACGGTCAAGTTATTCCAGCATTTTTTCTCCATAATTTCAAACATGAAAGTAGTCTTAAGTTAATTTAATTCCAAGAAGGTGACATATAATATGTTATGCGTCAAGAAAATGGGACACTACTCCTAATAGTATTGTAATATGTCATGTGCCACACATGTGATTGACTTAGTTAGGTTGTTAGGAGTTAGTTAACGTTGTTAATTGTAAGTTAAGGGTAGATTAGTTGTTAGCTTTCTCCTCACTTTGCTCTTGTATATATTGATGAAGCTCAGATGCAATAGAACAGTAGACTTGCTCATTTTTCAGCTCACAAACTCACTCTAGAATTCTCTTTAGAATGTTCCTCCATTGAAGACCTCGGGCATCTCTCACATTTTAGCATGGTATCAGAGTGGCGTGCCTGGAGCGCACCACATTAGATCTCTGATTTCTGTCTCTCGATTAATCGAAATTTCGTTGAAGCTCGTTCAAATTGTCAATGTCAGATACCGATTCATCAATGTCGGAGATGGCGACAATTGAGCATAATTATCCACTATATTAGACCTTCTGATATTCCTAGCTCAGTCGTGGTGCCTGTAAAGCTCATATGATCGGAGAATTATGGACTATGGAGTAGGTCGATGCGAATTGCACTTTTGGGGAAGAAGAAATTAGGTTTTGTTACTGGCACTTGCAGCAGGAATGCATATGAAGGAGAATTGTTAGAGCAGTGGGAAACATGCAATGCCATTATTCTCTCAGGATTTTGAACAATGGCCCTAGAACTTCTAGGTGGAGATGTGTATGCGTCTGATGCACATCTCGTGTGGGAGGACTTGCGTGCAAGGTTTAACAAGGTAAATCGTGTTAGGATCTTTCAATTGCATCGTGAAATTGCCACCTTATCTCAAGGAACCATTTTTGTTTTAGTATATCTTTCAAAATTAAAGGAATTGTGGCATGAGTATGATGTTTTGGTTCCATTCCCTAATTGCTGTGAAAATCGAAGGATCATGCAGAGAATTTGCGTCAACAAAGAGTTATGCAATTCTTATCTGGTTTAAATATGATTAAGCAAGAAGACAAATCCTCATGAAAATAAATGCACCTAGCCTAAACCAAGCCTATGCTATGATCATTCAAGATGAAAGCCA